ACACCCCGAGTTTTATTAATAAAGGAAAATACTAGCTTTCATGTTAAGCTAGACTTTGTTAATAAATAATCTTGTTCATGTTCAAGTTCCAGTGATTCAGTCAGTTAAATCTCAAGTTCGACTATTAGTCGATAGGTTATTCGGTTGCATAATCGAATAAGTTTCAGATTTTAATTCCGATTCATTTAATTATTAGATGAGTTTGGAATTAATAAGCTAAGTTGACGAATTATTCGAAAGATTATATTTGGATAAATCGTCTAAGTCAAGGATATTCGAATTAACTTTCGAATGTCAGGTTCATGTTCGGAATAATTTTCCGATACTTATTTCAGTGAAAGTTCCTCACGTCAAGTTCGGTCTACCTATACTGTGACGCGTTCACATTGGTACACCGTCCATTGTTAATTAAGTAATGGTCATTAACCTTGCTTAATTAACTTAATCATGTTTAAGCTAATTAATCAAGATTAGTTTAAGATAATCATGATTAGTTTAATGTTAATTAAGATTAATTAACACTAATGAAGATTAGTTAAGGTAATCATGTTTAGTGCTAATCGGGTACTAAGAAGCTTGATTAGCCACAAGCATTCACTAAGCCAATGGTACGCACCATTAGCACGCCCTTAGCGCGCTTAAGTACGCTTAGCGCCTAATGGCCTAAGGATCGAATTTCTCATGAAACTTCACGTGCAAGTCAGCAAGGCTAGGACACTTACCATTAGCACGCCCTTAGCGCGCTTAAGTACGCTTAGCGCCTAATGGCCTAAGGATCGAATTTCTCATGAAACTTCACGTGCAAGTCAGCAAGGCTAGGACACTTGGAAGGCAGGGAGACGTTCAAGCCGTGACTAAGCAAGAGCAAGTGATGAATCAGCCCGTTGAGGCCACCCATCTCGCCTTAGAGCGGGGCAAATGGCACAAGGCCATTGGCCGAGCTTTTCTCCCAATTCCCTTCAAGTTTCATCGTGTTATAAATGAACATTTTCAGCCTAAGTGTAAAAACTTTACACACACTACAGGTTCAGCATAAGTTTAATGGTAATTAAGCAAAGAATTTACTCATTAACACACGCATAAGCACATACAAGCTCGGAGTCAAGTAATCAAGCATATCTTATGAATTTCTTCGAGCACTTGAG